TAAATAAGGCTTTCTACTAAGTTTCTAGACTCTCTATTACTATTAGATAGTAAGGTTATTACCTTTAAGTAATAGAGAGATAGCTTATAAGATAAGCTTTAAGCTAATTATAACTAGTATCTAGAAGAGATAGCTAAGAATACTAAGAAAACTATTATAGTATATATACGTACGCGAATAGAAAAAAATACGTACTAGACTCTCTCTATAATTTTACGTTCTCTAAGAAATAGTAGTACGTAGATCTTTTATAAATATATACTTAATTAGCTAGAGAGAAGCTACGCAAACCTATATAAGAGGCTAAACGTCTACTATAATTTCTAGAAGCTATATTACTAAAATACTACTAACTTCGCGTACTTTTAGGTTAATTTCTTCTACCTAGTATAGAAGCGCTAGCTCTCTATAGACTAATAGATAGAGAAGCTTTATAAGAAGCTTCTAGCAAACCTATAGACGTAAATAGGTATCTACTAACGTTAGTATACCTATAATTATAATTAATATATAAATCTTACTTAAGACCTTACTAGAAAGCTTGTCTAAGAAGAAGCTTACGTAACTAAAAAGGTTAAAAAACGTAACACGCTTATGTTAACGCTATATTACACGCCTACTACTCTACTAGGTATTCTACTAACCTCTAATAAAGCTCTAGTAATTAGAAAGCTAGTTACCTACTTCTAATACTAGTAACCTAGCTATATAAGCTATAATTACCTAAATGCCTCTACTGCGTAGAAAGCTATTAAGAACGTTAATCTAGAGAAGAAGTCTATAAAGCTTATAGAGCTATAAGCACCTAAGAATAATACGTTAGAATATAAATCTAATAATTTAGAAAAAGTCTAGCTCTAGAAAAAGTCTTCTCTCTAGAGCTATCTACTAGAGTAATAAATCTACGTAAAAAGCTATTTAGTAGTTCTACGTTTACTCTACTCTACTAAATATCTATAAATAGTCTTATAATTAAGCTTAGAGGTTTAATTAATACTAGAGCGGGTAGCTACGTTCTAGTATACCTAAAGTACCTTTAGACTTTTAGAAAAAACCTCTACGTTAAGCTAGCGTGTATAGAACCTATCTCTCTTACTAGATATAATAGATAACCTAATAGCTAGATAGATAAATACTTTAAAGCTAATTTAGTACTAGAAAGCTACTAAATACGTACCTACTTTATATATTATAATACTAGCTACTATAATATAATAATTAGTTATAAGCTACTTAAAGAAGTTAATATTTAGGTTAACTATAAGTAGCGCGTACTAATATAGCTAGATACTAATTAATTAATTAATTATAAACGCAACGCGTTTGTCTCTATATAATCCTCTTAATCTACTACTAAAGCTTAAGTAGCTTACTAAGCTAATGCTAATTATTATAACGCTCTAATATTAGTAGTAGAAAAGCTAAGAGTAATATAATAAGAGAAAGAAGAATTATAATGCTAGAAGCTTTAAGAAAACCTACGCAAAATAGATAGATAGCTTAAGAATCTTAACTTACCTGCTAGGTTACCCCGTAAGCTAAAAAAGCTACCTATCTTATAAGAAATATGCTTAAAGGCTAGGCTTAACGTTAATATAATTAGCGTAGCTACCTTTATAATTAACGCGCGCTAAAAAGATACTATAATTAGGCACCTTAGTGTCTATAAGGTTAATTAGCTTATTACTAATAGAAAGAAAACCTCTATTACTAATCTAGAGAAGAAACTCTACTAACTAGTAGCCTAAAAGCTTCTATCTCTAGAGTATACTAGCGTAACTATAGCCTATTTCTTAAAAAAGAATTCTAATACTCTACTACTATATAAAGAAGGTATAGATTATAATATTAAGCTTATAGTAGAAAATATCTAGATAAATAGTTCTCTTTATAGTATATTACTTAAGTATCTATAGTTAGTATAGAATTACCTAGAGAACTACCTTTATTACAGCTTTATTATCTATAGTAATACGTTATACGCGTTACTAGTTCTATTTACTAAAAAGCTAGGTAGAGAATAGAGGTTCTACATTAACTATTAAAAGCTTAACGCTATTATAAAAAAAGATGTCTATTCTATTTCTTTTATTTAGAAAACGCTTATACGCCTATTACGTGCTAAGGTCTTTACTAAGTTAGATATAAGGTAAGCTTTCTACTAGATCTAGCTTAATAAGTTAGTAGAGAATCTAACGTCTTTCTATACGTGGTATAGTAACTATAAGTATTAAGTTCTACTCTTTAGCCTCTATAATAGCTCTACTACCTTTTAGTAATATATTAACAAGGTATTATATAGCTTACTAGACAATTTCTATATAGTATATATTAATAATATTCTTATTTATTTAGAGAATTTACTTAAGTATAAAATCTATATTATCTAGGTACTTAATTAATTATATAAAGCTAGGTTATAAGTAGATATTAAGAAATCTAAATTTACTATTAAAAGTACTAAGTTTCTAGAATTAATTATAAGTACTAATAGAATCTAGAAGAATTCTAAGAAGGTTACTACTATCTAGAATTAGCCTATACCTATAACTCTTAAGAGCCTTTAATTATTTCTAGGTTTCTATAATTTCTACTAAGTCTTCTTAAAGAATTACGGCTAGATAGTCTACTCTCTTACTAAGCTACTAAAATAGAGAGTATAGTATACCTTTAGAGAAATTAAGCTTATAGTATTTTAGTAGGTTAAGAATCTTATACTATCTAATACTATACTAGCTTATTACTTTTTCTATTGCTATATAAGAGTAGAAATAGACGTATTAGATAGTGTAGTTACTAGAGTTCTTTTATAGCTTTAAGAAGATAGTATCTAGAGACTAGTAGCTTTCTTTAGTAAGATAATAAGTACTATCTAGATAAACTATAGTATTTATAATAAAGAAATACTAGTAGTTATTCTTAGTATACAAGAGTAGAGAAG